GTCAAGGGAGGGGGGCTAGTCGAGGGGGGGGAGGCGGCGTGTGTGGTCACTTGTGGCATGCTGCGCGCCTCCCACTCCCAATTGGTCAAGCGTCTCGGCCTGACCAGGCCTCGTGAAGGCGTTGTCGAAAAGCTACAACCGTGTGTAAACGTGCACGGCGGCTCGCAGCCAGCGCGGCGCAGATCAGACCCGGCTGCAGCGCCCACCCGTTGGCCTTCTTGGGAGAGGCGCGCGCACGCCGGCGCGGCAAAACCGCCGCAGCCGCCGGCGGCGCGCTGTCGGGCGGCGCGTCGACCGCTGCGTCGATCGAGCGCCGCGCGCGCTTGCGCGCTGCCGGTGCCTTGGGTGCCGCGCCCTCACTGCCCTCTGCTGGTGTACCCATCGCGGCGGCGAGGCCGAGCTGGGTGCGCACACTGGTTAACTTGAGACCCGGGAACAGCTTGCTACTCAAAGAATATATCACAGGGGCGCGGAGAAGCATGCAGGCCGCTGCTAGTGCTTGGCGCGAAGCCCGTGGGTAAAGGTCTGAATGCGAGTCTAGTGCAATCTCGCAGTTTTCATTGATTTTCAGCCTGCAAGTGCGCGCCCGCAAGCAGGGTGGTTTCAGTTGATGAGTAAGGCCAAGGCGTGCGTGCTGTGATCTTGGTGCAAGTGGCCTCAGGCCTTGGTAGGCTTCTTTCAGCAACATATCCAGAAATGAGGTGATCAGCAGGGGGATCGTCTCGTCTGCTGTTGAGTGAGGGTGCTGGTGCTTTTGCTAAGCACAGCTATGATAGCGCACCGCGTCAACACCGCACACACCAGCTGCACTGCAGTACGGTACTTGCTGCACTTTTTCATCATGCCTGCGCCACTCATCCGTTCGCGTTGCTTGGTTCATTGGTTGTGCAGTATTCTTTTCTGTAGCCAGGAAGATTCAGCAGTCTCATTCGGTGTTGAGGGACCAATATTTTGCTACAAACAGGTGTAGCCTACACCCGCCATACTGCAGCTGGATTGCTGCGGCCGCTCCCGCCGTCTTTTCAGCACGAACAAAACACAAGGCACGGCAGCGTCCGACCCAAAAACCGCCTGCTGCGAGCCACTACAGCTGCACAGCCCTGCTCCGAAACAGGCCCCTCAGGGACAGCCTGTCCGCCTCCATATCCTGCTGCGACGCACCCAGCGCCGCGTCCCCCCAATCGATCAGCCACGCGCGCTGCCCGCCGTCGGGCTCGCTCTGCACCAGCACGTTGCTCTCCCGGAGGTCGCCGTGTGCGACCCCGCACGCATGCGCAGCCGCCAGCGCAGACTCAAGCTGCGGTAGGAGGTGCTGATCCCGGGCCGGGTCGAGGTAGCGCCCCCGGATGTACTGAGTGGCAGTGACAAAGCCGTCGCCGCGGCTCTCCGCCCCGGCCGCGACCAGGGGCGGCACGAACGCGCCCCAGTGCGCCCGCAGCGCCAGCTTCGCCCGGGCCTCGTGCAGGAGCGCGGCGGCTTTGGCTGAGCCAAGCGGGGACACCTTCAGAGCCAGGAGCCTCCCGCTCGGCTGCCTGCATTTGCACGGTCGACGAGGTTGCAGCCAGGGCAGGTGGGGGTAGCGGGGTGCGTGCGTGGGTGGGTGGCAGTCCCGGCGCGGCCGATGCATCGCAGCTATGCTGCTTGTGGCACCAGCGCAAGCCCTGCCGCGGGCTACACGAATGCAGCAGCGTTGCTCCCCAGACAGCCACCAACTCAAGGGCATTTGCAGCGAGGTGCTTGTCGCGGTCGCAGCGAGGTGCTTGTTGCGGTCGCAGCACGGGAAAAAGTAATACTCGCAGGGCGGTGGGCCCCACCGCCATGCCGCTGCTGCAGCCGCCGCTCGGGAGGCGGCGCCGGTGGGACGCCGGGGGCGCCGCCGCTCGCTCTCACCTGTAGCTGAAGACCAGGCCAGACTTGCCCGTGCCAACCACGTCGACCACCTGCTCGAGGTCCACTGCCGCGGCTGCCGCCTGCAGCTCGCCCCAGGCCGCCGCGAGCGGCAGCCGCTCGGTTTGCCGGCCGTCGTCGGGGGCGGCGTCCGCGGGGCGCGAAGCCGTGGAGGCGTGCTGGCTGCTCTGGGCAAAACTTGTCTCAACGCCGGTAAACCCACTGGTGCACACGCGCAGCTGAGTCGGGGGGATGGTGCTGTCGGCCCCCGCGCCGCTGCCGCCCCCTGCGTCGCTGCCGCCTGCCCCGGTCGTGCCGCCTCCGCCGGTGCTGCTGCCTCCGCCGCTGCCATGCTCCTGCCCGCGGGCACTGCTGCTGCTGCTGCTGCTGCTGCTGCTGCTGCTGCTGCCGGTGCTGCTGCTGCTGCTGCTGCTGCTGCTGCCATACCCTGCAGCTGCGCCTGGCAGAGCCTCTGCGGGCGTCCATGGCGCCATCCTGTGGACGTCCTTCAGAGCCATATGGCATACGAAATACACCATCTGTGTGCCGGCAGCAAGGCAGGTTGCGTCATCAGAGGGGGTAGCAAGAGCAAGGCAGGGGTGGCCAGGAAAGCACCCCCCCTTCCCCTGAAAAAGAAATCCAGGGGTACGCATGTGCTTATCAATACCCCACAGGACGAGCGGGTGTGGACGAGCGAACTGGAATGGCACGCAGCTGACTGCCGCAGCACGGGGCTCCATGCCAGTCACACGGGAACCCCCAGCCCCATTGGTAGCTGAGCCCATCAGCGCACCGCGGCGACCCCCGGGTCCCTTGAGTTGTAGCGGAACGCGCGCGACACAGCAAAGTCGGCGCCCTCCATCTTGATAGCCCACGAGTACAGGTAAGTGCTGGCCCAAGCAAACCTGACGCCGCGGGTCCCGCAGCAAAGGGCAAGCTGCGGGCCGCAGGCATATGCGTGTCGGTGCGTGGTTGGGTGAGGGGCGCTTTGTGGTGAGGCAGGAGGGGCACGTGGATGTCGGACTCATGAGGGATATTACTGGGTGCTGGAAAGGATAGACAGGTACTGTACATGATGAGCGTGCATCTGCCAAGCGCCGTGCGGAAGACGGCCACAGCTCCCCACATGCGCGGGATCACGGCGCACCCGAGCCATGGCGCCCGCCACGTTGGCGGAGATGTCGCCGCTGGCACTGCCTTCGTAGCGCAGCTCGGGGTGGTTCCAGACAAAGGGCAGGGCGGGCGCGTCCACGACGCACGGCTCCCGCAGCTGGCCGTACGGCCCGCGCAGCTCTAGGCGCTTGCCCTGCATGCACCCCGGGTCGATGGCCGTGCCGCAGAAGCAGACCAAACCCTCCCTGCGCCATCGATTGCAAGGAAGCAAGGTCAGGGAGGGTGCTTAACAGGCAAAACAGCAGCACCGACAAAGCGGCGGCACGGCGCAAAGCAGCGGCACAGCAAGGCACCGGCGGCTCCAGGCGATGCTCGTCGCGCCTCGATGTCACCACCTAGCCAGCATGCACAGCACGCAATCAGAAGACGCGAACCAGCCAAGCAGAAACCGAAATCGAGGCCCCCCACTCCACTCACACTCGCTCCAGCTGCCCCAAGCTGATCGCCCCGCAGGCTGGGCCGTCCACAGGGGCAAGCTCCACGAACAGCGAATCGCCCAGCAGGCCCGCCGCCTCATCCGGCTCCTCCGCGCCGTCCACCAGGGCCTCGTCCTCGCACCCCTCCCCTGTCTGCGGCGCCTCCCCCTGCAGGGGACGCGGCCGGCGAGCAGAGCGGGCCGGCGGCGGCCCTCCCTCGGCTTGGCGCCTCGCGTCAGCAGGGCGGACGCCGCCGGACGCGTGGGTAGGCAGCGGGTCACGGTCTCTGGGCCTTACGGCTCAGCCGCCGTACGACGGGCTGGGTGCTGAGTGCTGGTCCAAGGCATTAATCAGCGGCAGGGGACCATCGGCTGCCGGCGCGCACCTGGCTGTCCGTGAGGGCGCGGGGCGGCCGCCCCTGCAGCTGGAAGCACTCATTCACCGGCAGGCCCCTCTTGAAGGCGTCGTAGCGCAGCAGCCTGTTCAGGGGGACCATCACGCCGTAGAAGATGGCCCGCTCCACCCCCGCGACTCCCGGGGGTCCCTGCCAACGCGGGAAAGCAATTCGCTTGCGCTGTGCTTTGAAGCAAAGCGCTGTCGCTGGTGCGATCGGCGGCGCGGCCGCGGCACGAGAACAGTGGCAGCGGAGCAGACGGTGAGCGCCTCCACCAAATTCAGTCGGGCACGCATGCTCGCAGACACGACGCACGCACGAGCCTCGCCACCCGAAACTTAATTAGGCATGTGGCTGGCCGCGTGAGCATGTGTGTGTGTGTGTGTGTGTGTGTGTGTGTGTGTGTGTGTGTGTGTGTGTGTGTGTGTGTGTGTGTGTGTGCACGCAGGCGCCAGCGACTTTCCCGCCCCCACACCCTGTCAGACAAAGGGGGCGCCACAGGAAAAATAGCCGGGGTCGCCTCCAGGCCAGCCAGGAAGCCGCGAACGTCCTATTTGCGCAAATGCGATTCGACGCCATCAAAACTGCGCACCGTGTGCGCCAAAACCCTCAAAGGGCCCCAGCCGACCGCTGTTGTGAAGCATGCGTGCGTTCGCACAGTGTGTGCACACACCAGTGTGCGTTTGAGAGCGGGCGTGCTGCTCCGTATGCAGTGCGTCCCCGCCATATGAGCCACGTCCACCCACCTCCTCGCACGATTCCCACAGCTCTACAGTCCGAGGATGACTGCCCGCCTTCTTGTCCCACCTGCTGCTGTGGCTGCTGTTGGGATCCAAGCTGATGTGTGGCAGGGCGTCCAAGGCAAACTCCAAGACCGCCTTGCGTGTTAGGGTCGCTGCGGGGAGACGCAGGGGCAGCACACACCGCTCCGCTTTGTGACTTTTGGGCACGGCGGCCCTGGAATCTCAGCAGCCAAGCATCGGTCAAGCAGCTTGGTCAAAAGCAGCAGCCCCATGCTTCGGACTATGGCAAGTCGGTCGCAACAACATGAGATAGGTGCGACGGCACGCCGCACCAACGCGCACCGCCGTAGTAGGCGCACCGCCTGCGCACTTTTGCCGCCGTCTTGTCTGTGCAGCACAGCAGCTCAGCCACCGCGGCGTCGCCCATCTCAAACAGCTGCCCGGGCCAGCTGATGCCCCTCGCCGCAAGCAGCTGGGGGGCAGCTTCCAGCCCGAAGATGCGGTCCTCAAGGACGTCGTTGCACAGCAGCATTTCCCAGTCTTCTGCAGACTGGAACGGGCCCACAGGGTGCGTTGGACCTGCGCAAGGGGTACGCATTACGAGCCGTTGACTTCGAGAGTGGGGTACAACAGCGATTACCTGAGAATGCGATTGTTGCATGAGAGGAGCATGCAGGTTGATGCTGCAGGGCCTTTGTGGGATCTTCATACCAGCGCCGCGCCCTCGCATCCCGGCAGGCCCTGCGAAGCACGTTTGCCATACCCAGTGGTGTTCGTGCGGGCGGCATCTCATTGACTGTACGGCCCTCTATGGCGGCCTTTGCGGTCAGCTCCTGCGCGGCCGGGACCCCGTCTGGGGCGAGCACTTGGGCCACCTCCTTGGGGGACGGTTGGCCCTCCAAATCGGCCAGGAGCTGGCCCAGCAGGTTTGCATCCTGTTGGTGGTGCGACTGCTGCTGCTGCTGCTGCTGCTCCTGCTGCTGTTGCTGCTCCTGCTGCTGTTGCTGCTCCAGCTGCTGCACCTGCTTCTGCTGCTGCTGCTGCTGCTGCTGCTGCTGCTGCTGCTGCTGCACCTGCTGCTGCACCTGCTGCTGCTGCTGCTGCTGCTGCTTTTGTCGCCCTGCCTCAGACATCTGCAGCACGAGGAGCACCAGACATGAGGAGAGCAGGGCAGGACAGGAGTCTGAACACAGCAGGCAGGACCAGCAGCCACAGCATACCGTAGTGCTGCACCCAGAGCCAGCTTTGGGACCGCGACTGTGAGGAGGACTGGACTCTGGTTATGCTTAGGTCGCTCTTGAGGCTTCCCACATACGCTGTACAAGCCAGCAGGCTGCAGTGATTATTTCAAATATTACATAAGAGGGTCAGCTGGCGCCGAAGGAATAAACACTGTAATTTCGGATATAAATAAAAGTATACCTCACTACCTTGGAGTCGTAGTCGGCCGTCACCGTCTCACCGGGGATCAAAGGAGCAAGTGTGCGGCAAGCAGCGGAGTGCACAAAGCGAGCGAGGATATAATGTAAAACGTAGCAAGACTGGCAGGCTAGCTGTCGAGATGGGAAGCTCTGACAGCGATCCGGGCCTCGGTGACCTAGCTGATACTGGAAAGGAGGCCGTGGGCGCTCGACAGCTCACCAAAAGCATTGATCAGTTTTACCAGCCGTTTGAAAACACCGCAGTATGGTACTGCTGGTGCTGATGCAAGCCATGTGCCCTGCAGCCGCTGCTTCGAAAGTGGGCGCTTCCATTCCATGTTTGCTGGTCCCTCCGAGGCCCTCAGCAGGACAGCAGCACTCCAAAAGGCGCGACCCAATTAGAGAAGATACCAGAGGAGGCCGAATGCATGGGCGAAGCCAGCCAGCCAACGTGGGCGTGTTGCTTACACAGGGACGTGCGCACCCAAGTCCCCAGGACAAGGCGCTGCGCCGCGCCTCTCACAGGCTCGAAGGGGGGCCTGCTGGGGCCGCCGGGGGCTGCTGGAACGAGCGGCGAGAGCGCGCATCAGCGCCGTACCGTGCCGGCCAAGGTTTCGGTCAGGGCGCAGGATATGAATTCAGGTGTGCGCCGCTCGGGCGCCCCCCGCCTAGGCAGCTCAAGGGGCCGCTTTGCGTGCAGGCTGCGCGGGGAGGGAGAGGAAGGCTAGCTCACGCGCGCGCAGCGACCAGGGCGGTGTGCAAAGAGGGGGCAACGGTGGCCGGAAAAGCGGGGTCTGTTCGGTCAGGGTTGGTGACGTCACCGGCGGCCAGCAGGAAGGAGGCTCAGGGGTGGCTCTGAGCCGGTCAGGTGGGTAAGCTGGCGCCGCAGGCCGGAAGTGACCCGAAGGGGCTCGAAGCCGCGGGCTCCCTGAAAGTCCTTCGGCCCAAAAATGCGGCGGCCCCAATGGGGGAATGGGAGAGGTTGGCTGCGTAACAACAGCGCGATTACGCCACGCCGCGACGCCGCTGCGCGGGCGGCGAGCTGTGGGGGAGGGCCGGTCACTTGAGGGCGCCCGCTGTCCTCCCCAGGGCCGGCTGCTACACTAATCACTCCGCCATCACCTCAGGCAGCGTTGCCGCGTGCGCCCCGAACCCCGGCCGAAGCACCGCCTCCCGCGCCGCCAGCCACGCGCCGTACCGCTCCCGCCGCCGCCCGTCCGCCGCCGCGCCGGCCGCGCCCCCCGCCGCGCCGCGGCGTCTCCGCAGCATAACATCCTCTGTGTCCAGCACATAGGACACCTTGGAATTGCTGCAGCTGATCTTGCACTCCAGGCCGTTCGAGATCGCCACGCCCCCGAGCGCGCCCGGCCCCGCGTCCGGGTCGCCCGCGCGGCGCGCCTGGCGCCGCAGGAAGACGCGGCCGTCTGCTGCTGCTGCGGCGGGGGACGCCATGAACGCGCGCATGTAGTCGCCAAACACGGGGTCCAGCCCGGCCTGCTGGGGGAGGCGGGAGGAGAGGGATCATGCTGTTTGTACAAGAGATTGGTGCTTTCGGGATCATCCGGGTTATTTCCGGCAGTGATCCAGATGGGCCTCGGGACGAGGCGCGCCTGCTGGGGGCGGCGTGGCCCGTCGCACGACCCCCACACCAGACACACCAGGGGCGCCTAGGAGGCAAGCAGGCCATGCAGCCCCCCCCCTGTCGTGCTCTGCCCCCCTCATAAG